GAGCAGACTAAATTGCTTGATATTTTTTAAAGCTCAAAACAATACTCTAAATGTTATGATAAGACACCAAGTGCCTTGTTGTTGTTCTTTCACCATTGCACGTGTCTCTGATTACATAAATTTTATTTTTAAGTGTGTCCTCATATATGGGCATGAGCAAAATCCAGTAAAGTACTCTGACTTATTGCAGAAGAAATATTTACTTTGAGCAAGACCGAAGGCACTTCTGTTCATCCAGGACATATCTACATGGGTAAACCTGGCATACAAAGACACTGACAGATACTTCCTTGCGAATTAATACCTTTGACCTAGTCTGACATATTGTAGCTTCAGAAAAGAAAGGTGAGAGAGAGGAGGGAGGAACTAAAAAAATCTCCAAAACTGTCAGAATGCCATTATAATTTCACATCAACCTTGTATTCAGGTGTGCTTCATATTTGTTGAAAAACAAAAGTTCCGCTGACTTGAAGTTATCCTTTCCTGATTGTCATGAAAAACAGTGACTTCTACTGATAACTTGGGAGCTAGAACTAAAAGTCTTTATCTGATGGATGGTTCCAATGAGAGAGTCCAGAATGTGTAGTAATTGGGGTAATTATGGGAGAAATAGCTATCATTTATTTTGGGTTTCCTTTTCTTTTCCTGTCCCTCTCACCCATGCCATCAACCATCCTACTCTTCAGGCCCCATCTGCCCTGATGTTCTATGTTCTACCATCTTGGCATAACCAACTTTATAACAGTGGTTCAATTATTTTAAGACAGATGAATTGAGGATTTATTCCTTTTCATGTGACTTTGCCGGGCATGAAGTAATAATAGCACATTGAACCAGCTTGCCGGCATTGGATGTAATATAACGTGTGTGTGCCAACGTGTAACTTTCCTTTTTCCAGATATTGTTCCTGACTTAAGCTTGCAAAAGTCACTCTATCATTCCATAATGTCTCAACTATAATACTCGAAAGTTGGTATACTGTATCAAGTTTAGCTTTTACTCTTGGAGGAAAATACACACAAATCCTACATGGAGAGATCTTCAGAAGTGAAATATTATTCTATTTTCCAGAAGGGGATTTTCTGTCTTTGCTTTGATCTCTTTGCTTTCTCTTATTGCCTTCACTGCTACTGACAACCACACTGAATGATGGAAGATGAGTCCAGACATGGACCGGGTTATTTCGTGTAATGATGGGCTCAGTGCTAAATCCTAATAATTTGTTCTCAGTCTTACTTAACTTCTCTACAGATTTTGAAACTGTTCAGCACTGATGACTTCTCAAGACTAACTTATTTTTTGGTTTCCATGATATTTTCATTTATTCATTTATTAAAAATATTGCACACCTATTATATGCAAATCATTGATTAGTTGTTGGGGGATAAATAAGTGAACAAAGAAAGCCAGGTCCCTGTTTTCAAGAATCTTACTGTTTAGCAGGGGAGACCACAAGGAAGTAAGAAAACAATTTGATAATTAATTATTTGCTTAATTTTTTATAAATATCAGGAAGGAGAAGTACAGGGTTTTATAAGAACAAATAATAGGTGATTTGACTGAATTGAGTCTGTGGGGTCAATGAAGGCTTTCTTGATGGAGTGAGTAAATAAATGATACTTGAACTTGCATTTTAAGGATAAGCCAAAATTAATGATTCCAAAAGTCAGGAGCTGCGACAGGAGTGGAGATGGAAGGTGGGGAAGAATATTCTAATTCTTCTTCAATTTTTCTGACTGCTCTTCTCAGTCTATTGTACGCTTCCCTTCCTTTGCTTATCCCTTGAATTTTGCCTTTGACTCCAGCTCCTCTATTAGTGACACCCCAATATACATTTTTGGCCAAGATCTTTCTTTTGAAGACCTAATACCTTCTCCAAAAAGTCTTACACAAGCTGCAAATTCAACACATCCAACTGAACTCTGATACCTTATATCACCAAAACCTGCTTCTCCTTCTGTGTCTTGGTAGAGGTTTATCCCCCAATCCTGACATCACTTGACAGGTGCCCAAGTCATGGCCCAAAGATTTGACCTTCTCTCTCCATTGCCCTCAAAATAACGAATTGGTATATCCATTCTTCTAATTTTCTCACGCCTGTCTTTACATTTAAATGTCTATTTTAACCCAAAGATCTTGGTATCTAAGGCATATATCAAGAGGGAAAATCACTCTCTAAAGTCTTCATTTGTTTCCCAGATCTCTCTCCTGAGCTTTAAATTCTGCTTGCTGGCCACAGTCATTGGGATATTCCTTAGACAGCTCTAAGTGAATGTGTCTGATGCTGAATTCATGATCTACCCCCATGACATGTGCTTTCTGTCCTTGACTCCATCCTCCCCTTTCTCCTCTATACCACTCAATCACACGATCCGAGGTGTCTTCTGATGTGTCCCCTTCTCTTCATTCATTCACCACCCCCTAACTCACAGCACTGCCTTCTGATCTCCATGACTCTGATGGCCTCCATGGGCTCTGTGTCACCTCCATTCTTGTCCCTCCAATCCCCTTGTTACATTTGGCGATCAGAGTCATATTTCTAAACTAAACTGCCTCCTGTTGTTTAAAGCTTTTCAGTGCTTTTCTGTTATTCTGAGGAAAAATTCAAGCTCAGTAAAATGATTTATGAGCTCTTCCTGGCTCTGCTTACTTTTTGAAGTTCATTGTCATTTACACCTACATTTTTGCTGTGCTGAGTTTACATCAGTTCCTTGTATGATTGGGATATCTCATGGTCATCCAATGTGCATTTTCTCTGGGTCTGAAGTACTCTTGGCCTTTTCTTCATCTTGCTCACTCTTAATTATCCCTCTGGCATCAACTCCATTGTTTATTCTGATTTGCCAAAGGTGGCTTCTTTCTTTGGTTCTTTTTTTCTTGGTTCTTTATCTGTGCCCTAATACCTCCCTTTTACCCCACTTATTTAGCACTTGTTCCCTTGTCCTGCTCCCACGAAAGTGAAAGCAGCATGAAAGAAGGGATGGATCTTTCTTGTTCACTGTATCCCCAGTATTCTTGGCACTAGGTGGTAATCAATACGTATTTTTGAATTGATAGTGAATAAATACAGGTGGAATTCAATCAATCATTATTGAATAAATTGATGACTTCTAAATCCATATCACCATTTCCACATGTCTATGCGCATTTCCACCTGGATGGCCAGGAGGCACATTGACATGTTACTTTCTTTTATTGTTAT